CCTGGACCAGTCCCGGACCAGCTCTTCTGTGTTTGTCTGTGTCTCTTTCCTGTCCTTCAACCAGCCGGTCGAGGCAGAAGGCCGCCAGCCCTGAGCCTGGTTCTGCTGGAGGTTTCTTCCTGATTAGCAGGGAGTTTTTCCTCTCCACCGTTTGCTCAGGATGGGAGACTGTGATGAAGTGATTCAACGCAGACTGCTGGTTTCTTCTTTAGATTGTTCTTTTTATGTACAGTGCCCTGAGACAGTGTATGTTGCGTATGTGGCGCTATATAAATAAATTTGAACTTGAACTTGAACATAATCTCAGATTCCTGTTACTTCCCATGCTAAGCTAATAACCTCTTGTCGTCGATCTACATACAGTATTTGTTTTACTGTTTTAATTTTAATGTTGTTTTCATTCATTTTTAACTTTTCCTTTAGACCTGAGAGAGAATGTAGCTGTACTCCTTTTATTATATCATTTTATGTACCTGCTTGTTGCTACTATGACTTCATCTCGTTCTAGTTTTCCCTAAACTGTCTGGAAAGCAGGTCAAACTGTTGTAAAAGTTCATAAGTAATGTTAGGGAGCGAGGGCGAGCCTGGAAAAACGTTGAGCACAAGCAGCACAGATCTGGCTTCACTCTGTATTTCTTTAACAATAACTCAGAACATACTAAAAGATCAGCAGCTTGTCTGTCCTGTTACTGCATTCATTCCTTCAAACCGTTGGAGCTCGCTGCTGACTGTTGCATTTGTCGTCCGCCTTCTTACACCCCTGAACCTTTTAGCCACTTTATGTGTTGAGGAATGAAATATCGTTGATCTTTTATTTATGAATAAGACAACAACTTTGTGTGGGATCTAATATGGGTGGAGTGTGGAGGAAGGGTCAGCTACTAGGAAAAGTTTGAATGCAAAGTTGTAATGTGGATGCTTAGAATGGTCTCAAGTGGCATTTCCAATTAATTCCTTCATGATAGATTATAGATTAGTCAATTTACAGGGTTCCTATTCAGCCAATTATTGTTGCGATTAATCTTTAAAAAGGCAATAAGTTGGTTTCAGGAATGATTTATGCTGCAGACGAGGGCCATCAGTCCTTTCCTACCATTTTGCTGCCCTGTAACACTAGTAGAAGATGTACCTCAGGTAGTCTCTGCGACAGAGGATGAGATTGGCCCGGGTGTACAGGGTGGAGCCCACCCGGCCCAGGCGGCAGTCACAGCAGGCGCATTTCAAACAGTCCTCATGCCAGAACCTGTCTAATGCCTGCAGCATGAAGCGGTCCCTGATTTTCCCATTACAGCCAGCGCAGCCTCTCGGCTTCTCTCTGGACTGGAGGGACACAACAGACACACCTGGAAGAAAATAATGAATGCAGAAGACAAAATGAACAAAAAGGAAACATTGAAAACTAACTTTCTTTAAGTCCCTGCTGACACTCACAGGGTTATTTACATCAGAAAGCTTCATTTCTTCATGTTTTTTGTTTAACTTGACAAAAGAGCTTAATATCAGCTTTTGGGAGTATAATTTAACTGTATGTTTATCTCTTAGTATGCAAGTCTTATTACTTCCTGGTCATTGCTATTTTTTTCTGTAGCATACAGCATAAGGAGGCAGATCCACTCAGATACTTTCTAAGGCCAGTTTAAGCAGGATTAGTTTATTCCAAACCATTTTATTAAGTGAATGTTGAATCAGCGTTTCACAGTTCTGTTCCTGTTTTTTTTTTTTTTTTTTTTTTGCAGTCTATCAACTTCTGCAAACATTGTTCTGTTTTAGCCATTCATATATCTAAACAATCAACTCACAGGTGGTGGGCACTTTGACTCGCAAATTTTAGTATTCAGACTTTATTTACAAATGTTTTGTCAAAATCAATGAATCTCTTCAGTTCCTTCAGAAACAAGTCTCACTGAAATATGCTTCAGTGTACTAGCTTTATTTCTGCTTTAATGCTGTACTTTGGCTGGCCTTTTTTTTTTTTTGTGCTAATTTTAGAGACATTTCTGAGACTTTTAGGTTTTTCCAATATTATGTTTCGCTACTTTTATCATTTAGCTGCTATTCTGCTGCTTTTAGCAGCTTTTTATTGTGTTTCGTTTAGCTTTTAGTTAGCCTTTTGCAACTTTATACTTTTATCAGTTTTTTAACTATCAGCAAGTTTTTATACTAAAATTTTCTACTTTATTATTAGTTTTGCTACTTTTAGCTAACATTTTGCTACTTATAGCTAGTACTTTCCTCTTATTTTAGCTAGTTTTTTTTACTGTAGCTTTTAGTTACCATAACTTTAGCTACTTTCAACTAAGCTTTTGCTAAGTTTAGCTAGCTTTGCTTCTTTTAACTAGCCTTTTGATACTTTTAAACTTTTTTGTAGTCAGATTTTTGTCACTCATTCTTAGCTTATTACCTAGCTCTTTTTTAATTTTGGTTTCATCTACCCCAGAGGTGCCCAAAGTGGGGCCCGTGGGCCAACATTGGCCCGCCGAGCCATTTGATTTGGCCCACCAGCAGTCGTCCTAGTTATTAGATTGTAATTATGTTTAGATTAAATATAAAATACAAGTAACTACAAGAGACATTTAGATTAGATTTAAGCACATATATAGATTTGCACACCTTATAAGACCACATATACTCAAATTTTAAATTATGAAAAGTCACATGAGCCTTTGCTGCCTGAGGATACATTGAATTTTCTCCATTACATGTCCATGGGCTGAAAAAAGAAATAACTAAAGAACGTGGGCAACCACACTGGCTGGTAGATTATTCATAAAAAATAAAACAACTTTACTTAAGTATTAAGCATTTCTTATATTATTGCATTTGGCCCACGGCCCTCAGATTGATTTTAATTTTGGCCCTCTCAGAAAAAATGTTTTTTTTTTTTTTTTGGCCCTCTCAGGGAAAATGTTTGGGCACCCCTGATCTACCCTTTTGCTACAATTATCTGACCTTGCTGCTTTTAGCTGCTTTTAATTTTTAGCTTCACTTTAACACCTAAAATATAAGTTTCAACACCAGCAAACATCAGCTCAACAAACATTATTATGGTTTCATTCTTTGTTTTAATGTTAATTTTATAATAAACCTACATGTAAACACATCCAGAAGGTAAATGTGGTTCAGTACAGCCTTGTTTTGTTGGGAATCAGAAGCAGTATCATCACATCCAGCATTGTGTTTCCTGTACTTACTCTCCTCCTTGTCCAGCACCATCCTTCAGGAGCTGGTCTCACTCCTTCCTCTCCTGCCTGGAAAACAACCACCTCAGGAAGCGCTTATAAAGCACAGACAGCCTCTGGATTACAGTGATCAGTCCGGAGTCGCTCAAACTTTGGATCTGCTCCTCATTTTCCCCGCAGAACAGCCAAGAAACAAACAATCAAAAAATAAAAATAAAAACCAGGCTTCCAGTGAAAACAGCCCGTGGGATGAACGGGAGCAGTGTTCCCGGGCTTTGCACGGCAGATGTCCTCGACTGAAGCCTCCTCTGTGTCCTATCTGGACTGATGTCAGTGTTTAACTATGTGTTTCTGCTCCGAGGCTCCCTCCCTTCTCTGCTTCTCCCCTCCGCAACCGAGAGAGAGAGAGAGAGAGAGAGAGAGAGAGAGAGAGAGAGAGAGAGAGAGAGAGAGAGAGAGAGAGAGAGAGAG